ATATATCAGCTGATAAAACAGCTTCCCTTTAAACTGAGGCTCTAAAGCCATTATCAAGCTTATTCAGCTTCACTACCCTTACTCCTTATCATGCAGAGATAGGCTTTGTTCAAGCCAGGAACAAACACTTCTGTTCGCTTATCTCCACTAGGACCCTGCCCAGATGGTGGGAAGGGAGAACCCAAGAGCCCCGCACTTCCCACTACAAAGATCTAGCTCTGTCCTCCATCTTGGCCAAGCTTTTACTTAGTTCTTTTTAAGGACCAATTGAGTCTATCCAGACCCAGTCCCACAACCACATCTGTGATGCCTCACCTCGGTGAGACACCTCCTTCAGCAGTCTGGCTTCCGACTGCACCACGTTCCTGTTGCTGAGGAAGATGAGCCGCCGAAAGTACCACCTATCTTCCCCTTGCACATCCTCAATAACATAGTCACCACTCAGGGCACTGTGGTCTTGGTGCTGAACAGTCCGGACTCCAATGTCCCCACCCACAGACAGGAAGGGAACCTGTAGGAGCAGACAGATTGAGGCAAAAACATCATCTCAGTTAAGAAGTGTATGACACTACACACCGCACTTTTGGTTGAGCGTGAGAACTTGCCCCACGCCAAGGACAACAACAGCTCCTCTCTAAACCAGTGCTCTCCTGGGCCTTTAGAGACCAGACCCACTTTAGAAACTCAATGAGGAGCTGGAGAGCTGGCTCAGCAGTTAAGAGCACTGGCTCCTCTTCCAGAGGACCCAGGTTCAATTCATAGCGCCCACACAACAGCTTACAACTGTCTGCTACTCCAGTTCTAGAGTATCGGACACCCTCACACAGGCACACATGCAGGCCAAACACCAATGCACATACGATAAAAATAAAGAGAAACTCTATAATGGTACTCTTATGAGACTGGATGTTCTTTTCTGGTGTGCAGACACACACACAGAGGGAAAAAAAAAACACATACATAAATCTTTTTTTAAGAATGTGAAGAAAAACAACAACAACAAAAAAAAAAACATAGGCCTCCAACCCAGACACAGATGCTATAGTAGTATGGCTTTCTTTGCTCTTTGTGTGTGTGTGTGTGTGTGTGTGTTTCAAGAATTAAACCCAGGGCCTTTTGCACAACAGGCACAACACTGATCTACAACCTCAGCCCCTAGATGGATTCCCCCCCCCCCCCCTCTCTCTCTCTCTCTCTCTCTCTCGGCTGGGAACTTTAACTCTCACCTGACTATGGCTCTCCAAAACTATGGTCAGATTTTAGTCCTAACTTTCTTCTTCAATTTTTTTAAAATATAATTTTAAATTATTATTTTATACGCATTGTGGTGTTGCCTACATGTATGTCTGTTTGAGGGTGTAGGATCTCCTAGAACTATAGCTACAGACAGGTGTGAGCTGCCATGTGGTTGCTGGGAACCGAACCTGGGTCCCCTGGAGGAGCAGCCAGTGCTCTTTGACCACAGAGCAATCTCTCCAGTCCCTTAATCAATTTTTTAAAGTTAGCATACAAAGTAATGAGTTTCTTCATGGCCTCTCTCATGCATTAGACATTATACTTTGTTCTCATGTGTTTTCCTCCCTGATCCTGGCCTTTGGAGGGCTCTTTTTGCCTTCCTAGCTGCTGATGGAACTCCAGGAACCAGCAAGAGCTGCTGCCAAAGTCTGGTACCTGCTGCTGGGGAGGCATCCCGGCCGGGGCCAGCTCCATGACTCTGGTTGATAGCTCTGCTTGAATGCTTTCCATGCCATCATACCGCTGGCCGCGATGAAGAGCCACTGTGACCAACCTCCTGAAGCCTGCGCTGGCTGCCAGCTGCTTCCGGCCCTCGTCCATGCCAAAGAGCCACTCGGTCTCTCGGCCCTGGGGTACTGGAATAGACAAAATTGGTTACAGGGAGCCACAGGGGCAAATGTTCAAGGTCCACAACCAATATGGTCCACATGGCAAAGCCAGTCACTGCTCTGAACAGCTTCCTTCCTGTGACTCCACTGAGACATTATCAATTCCCAAAAGCAGAGCAGCCCATCAAACCTGAAGCAAGACTAAGGGTGATACACGACACAAGTCTTGGGGGTTGGGGGAGACTGGAAGATAGAAAGAAAATGCTGTTTTAGACATGCAGGCCTGATTCTAAGCTGTTTAAAACACAAATAACAGGGGCTGGAGAGAGGGTTTAGTGGTTAAGAGTACTGGCTGATCTTCCAGAGCTACTGAGTTCAATTCCCAGCAACTACATTGTGGCTCACAACCATCTCTAGTGGGATGTGATGCCCTCTTCTGGCATAAAGATGTACATGCAGATAGCACTCAAGCATAAAATAAATAATTTAAAAAAATTTAAGGGCTGGAGAGATGGCTCGGCGGTTAAGAGCACTGGCTGTTCTTCCAAAGGTCCAGAGTTCAATTCCCAGCAACCATATGGTGGCTCACAACCATCTGTAATGAGATTCGGCGCCCTCTTCTGGCGTGCAGGTATACATGGAGGCAGAATGTTGTATACGTAATAAATAAATCTTAAAAATAAATAAATAAATAAAATGGAAGTCAAAAAATATATATATGAAAAAAAAAAGGGGGGCTGAAGAGATGGCTCAGTGGTTAAGAGCATTGCCTGCTCTTCCAAAGGTCCTGAGTTCAATTCCCAGCAACCACATGGTGGCTCACAGCCATCTGTAATGAGGTTTGGTGCCCTCTTCTGGCCTGCAGACACACACAGACAGAATATTGTATACATAATAAATAAATAATTTAAAAAAAATTTAAATAATATAATTCTCACAAAAACAATGGCGCAAGGTAAACATGGCATTATTTCCATTTTCACAAATGAGGAAAGAGAACATAGAACTTAAACTGTTTGTCTAGGTTCATACGGCTAGTGAACGCAAAGCTCGGACTCAGCCCCAGACAGCCTGGCCCGTCGCCATCCTCCTGGCCACTCCACCATTCATTCCCATAGGTAGCTAGTAAAGATTCTGAAATACGTGGAAAGATGGCTTGGTTCTCGAGAAACCAGATTTCCAGCACATGCCCACGGTTTCCTCACTTCTCCATCTCTTCTCATCCCTCCATCCTTCTGGTACCCTCCCTGCTTTCTGCACCTTCATGTGTCACGTGGCAAGCATCATTCCTAAGAGCTTACACTTCCCAACCACACAGACGGTTACATTCCATTCTGCTTACAAGTTATCTGAGGAAAATAAAGCACCCGGGAAAAGTAACATTTTCAGGGGCTTCTCACCAGGAGGTACCTAAACCGGAGCTGGAATCCAAAGAGTCCGCTGCAGAACTTACTCCTCTAGCTGCTACCTTGCACTGTCTCCTTTAGTTAAGTCTGCAGTGGCTTTCCTTCTGGACACAATACACAGGCTAGACAGAACCCGAGCTAGATCTCACAGCTGGCACCAACCAGCCCAGCCTCGCCTCCATCAATGCAAACTCTGAGTAACTAAAATTTCTATACATGTGCAATGAGTCTAAATTTACACTTACTGTGTCCTGCCCACCACCTCCATTTTCAAACTTCATCAAGCCTTTATTTTGGACTATGAGAAGAGCAAACTCAAGTCTAAGAAGGCTGCTGGAGAGCTATTACTCCCTTTTCATCATGTCTTGGCTAATCCCACCTTAAGATAAAAACAGCCATGACATACCCAATCACCAGGACCCAAGCCCAGCCCCGGCCCTGTAAGCCAGCCCTTCCAGGGAAAGACGTGGAGCAATCCCAACTCACTGATAAAAATGGCAAAATGACTGTCCCGCGATGGTTTCACAGTGGGGTTGTCCACCACGTGGAGGGTGTAGCGTGGCTCCCCAGTGTCCCCACTGCACAAGTCCAGAGACACACTCCCCAGCCCAGCCTTGCGGCGCAGCTGACTACACAGCCAAGCATAGTGCTGCCGCTCCCGCACGGCCTCAGCCAGTCCATCGGCACTCTCCAGCCGCACAGGCTTGCCCTGCTCCTGAGTACACAGCTCAAAGATCTGAAGGGCAGAGCCAGGGACTGGCCTGAACTTGGTCATGACGAAGGCAAAGACAGGCAGGGAGAACCGAGGCTCTGCTTCAGACACCTGGTCCTGGCTGCTGGCCACTTGGTGTACCCTCACCATCCACCCCTCCCGAGAGAAGTGACCCACTGCTTTCTTCAGGATGTGAGCCTGCGCCAGGGAGATGCAGAGGTAGCGACCGCCCACCTGCAGGACCCGGCCAACCTCAGCCAGCATCCTGTCCACCCGCTGCAAGGTCTGCTCCTCCTCGTCTGTCAGGACAGCATCCAGCGTGCCCTTGTCCAACACCACCTGGAATGTGGCGTCAGGAAACTCCATCTGTGTCATGTCCATCTTCAAGAAGCTCATGTGGGGGCGTCGGCTGGCATTGCGCTCCTTCATCTGCTTGATGACCACCTCACTGATGTCAATATTCACGATATCTTGATAGCCCACATCATACAGTTGCTCACTGAGCTCTGAGTTGCCACAGCCAATCACAAGCAGCTAGAGAAAAAAACAAAAATCATGTACAAAATAGAAGGGACCAAGGCAAAGGCAAGCTCTTTGACACTTCAGAGGGGAAAGTCTCTCACCTTGCCTATTTTGTATTCTCAAAAGACAGAGCAACCACGGTAAGGAGAAAGCAAGGCTACAACTAACTCTAGATGCCATCTTGGAACTACCGATACAGGTATGTGCAACCCTGGGCCCAGTGCAGCCATGACTACAGTTCAAAACAAATCCTAAGTATTCTTAAAATGTGTGTTTTTTGCAATTATTTCACTGTGCCACTTGATTGCATGGTTCTCAAGTGTGAGCCTTGGAAATGAGAACCTTGCATTACGATGTCAAAAGCTAGACACACCTGGGAGGAATTCACTAATCAAAACAGTAGTTTGTTACAAGAAAGGTCATGTGAGAACAGGTTTTGTGGTGTGTGCTATTCAAAACTGAATGTGGGGCTGGAGAGATGGCTCAGAGGTTAAGAGTACTGACTACTCTTCCAAAGATCCTGAGTTCAATTCCCAGCAACCACATGGTGGCTCACAACCACCTGCAATGAGATCTGGTGCCCTCTTCTGGTGTGCAAGAATACACCCAGGCAAAACACTGTATACATAATAAATAAATTTTAAAAAAAAACTGAATGTGTGGCTGGAAAGAACACTCAGTAGGTAAGAGCACCTAAGGTTGTTACTGAGGACCCAAGTTCAGTTCTCTGCACCCATATGGCCCAGCTCACAGCGCCTGTTCTGGGAACTTGGATAGCCCCCTTCTGGCCTTCACGGCTCCTGTATTCACATGATGTATATAAACTCATGCAGGCAAACACACATATGCATCGTCAAATAAATGAGTAAATCTTTTTTTAAAGTCTGTAGGAAGTTTCCAAACATGCCAGTTGCAATATCGATTTACGGTTAAAAATGGAGCCTGACATAACGATTTCCATGCGCTCATGCTTTCCGTGTCCCCGGACAATAAACTCCGGTTTATGAGATTTCCAAATCTGCCCCCATCACAGATTCCATCTCAGGATATTTAGCTAGTTTTCTGAAGCCAAACGTAAAAGCCCAAGTTACTGTCTCTCTCTGCAGCCTAATCTCCCGTTCATCTTTCATAATTCTGGTGTCACCATCTCTGCAGGGAAAAGCATCTTTCGGTGAGACGTGACTAAGCTCTGGTGTCAGACAGATCTGACTTTAAATCTCCATTTGACAACCTACTATGTGTGACCTTCAACATTCACCTGTAAAAACAAGTGCCCCTGAATTTGCTAAGAATAAAAAAACTGCACATGCCAGACGGTACGTTTTCCTCCCTGCCGCCAATACAACCCCACCTCTTCCACGGCTACCACTAAACTTGGAACGTTGAGCTGTCAGAGTGTGTGCAGTTTATATCACTGCTCCCGTGGCTTGAGTGTCGGGCACAACGTCTGAAACCTGATAAGCACCCAGCAATGACTGAATAAACACACCTATCAACAAAGCCAGACGGTGCTGCGTATGCCACACTTGGGCACAGCGACACAAGACCCCTTCAGACTACTGACGAAGTCACCATTCCAAATACGGTGAAGACAGAAAAGTTTCTCTGCTTAGTAGACCAGGCTGGCCTTGAACTCACAAGATCCTCCTGCCTCTGCTAGGATTAAGGGCAGGCGCCACCGTGCCCGGCTCAAGGATCAGATTTTAACTGAAAGGTTTAAATGGCTATTTTAAAGTTGTCATTTGGCCAAAATGCTGCACGGAGTCCTGAACTGTGGATTCGAGCAGGATACCCACGCCTGCCTGTCTCCTAAGGTTAGGACTGCCATCTTCAGTCCCCACAGAAGAATTCCTGGCAGCACGTCGTACCTTTTCCCTGGGCTTGATGTATTTGTGCAGCACTTCACAGAGTTCCAGGTAGGTTCCATACCATTCGAAAGATTTCTTCCCTCGCTGTTGGAAGAACTTCTCCCAATAGTCAACAGAGCCAAACTCCTTGGAGCTTTTAGGTAAAAGATTCATGTTCCCACGGCGAGGTGCGTCTCCGAGACTACTCCTGGTGACAGATCATGAAGGGGACTCAACCCAGGAAGCCCCGAGAAGCAGCCGCGGGAATCTCAGCCACTACAGACGGCATCGAATCGTTCCACACTCAAAACCCAGCCGAACACCCCTACGCGGCACACGCACGCGCGCGCCGCCCCCTTCTCTGCACCCTCAGTCCGCGCCGCACGTGCAACAAGCCCCAGACTCGGGCTGCTGCTCTCAGAACCAAGCAACCACATCCGGGTAAGATGCCTCGGGATTGGTCTGGCGCCCATACCAGACCGGCACCTCATTGGCCATTGAGTCTCATTTCTGGCACTTCATTGGTTGCTCGTAGGCGCCGTGCGCTTTACCCAAGGCGACTCGAGTGGGCGGGACTTCCTGCCAGAGTCCGGGCGGAAGAGGCCTACTGCCGGGAGCCGGGAGCGGCTGCGCGCGCAGCCACAGAGGCCTCTGGGAGACTGCGCTCCGTCGCCGGCTGAGGGCGTGCGAACCTTAGGAGCTCGTTTAGCAGATGGTTCTGGATCAGGAGCAGGAGGCTCTCTTGTTCAAGAGGACGTAAGCTTTGGGTTGCACGTGCCTTTCTGTCGTCTCAGTCCTGCACAGCCCAGCGCTGTTCCCTTCTGCATCTCCTCTTCCCGGATCTATTTGCCACCGTTCTTGGTTAGCTCAGAAGGCAATGACTACTTTCTCTGCCCCAAAATACAGGGCTTCGCTATCAACACTGTAACAACGTAAAATTTCAGGAGGAAAGACTAGCAACCGATAATACAGAGGCGCCTCCTGAACCCTTTTCCCCACCCCTTAAAACACAGTAGCCAAACTGAAGATTCGTTTTGTTAGGGGCTTCCTTCAATTGTCCTTCTGATGTCAGCTGTAAAGGTATATTTTATGTGTCCGATAAGCATGTCATCCTTCCAGATGCTCGTTTTATGAAAATATTCCAAGGAGGTTCCTGGTGAAGGACGGTTTTGAAAAGACGATGGAAGAAACAGCTCTCACGATAAAGGAGCAAGAGAGGTGGTTTATTCTGGATGCAAATATGGGTGATCATGGTCCATAGGTTCCTCGAATACCATAGTCCCATGAGGTGGCAGTTTCATGGACTTTTTATAGCAACAACACAAAGTAGTAAAATAACACACTTCCAAATATCTTGATGGGTATATTGTGAGATATTTAAAACCAAGCAGGACAAACTAGATGTCTGTTCCTACTTCCCAGAGGCTTTACATAATGGTCACAAAAGGTGTGAAGTCATGCACAGAGGACACTAAATAGCTATTAAGGAGGCACATTTCAACTCCTTCACATTGAAGCTGCAATCAGTGAGTCTTTGAGGACACAGCTTGCAGCATTTCTTGTTCACAGTCTACACACAGCACTAGCTCAGACGCTGAACACTTAGAGTAGACATAATGTTTAAAGTAATCTTCAAGCATTTCATAATCATCCACTGGACTTTAATTGAAAATTTTTTCATCTGATATATTCTGATCATGGTTTCTCCTCCCCCAACTCCTCCCAAATCTTCCCCATGATACTCCCACCCTTTAGCAAGCAAACAGGCAATAATACCCAGAATAAGAAAGAAAGAAAGAAAGAAAGAAAGAAAGAAAGAAAGAAAGAAAGAGAAATTAAAAAACAACAACAGAAAAAACATACACACACAAACGTCCCGTCAAAACACAAAATTGAAAACCATAATATACAGGCAAAAGACCTATAAGGCAAAAAAAAATGTCCAAACCAAGCAATATGAGATTTTTTAAAAAGTCTACAAAAATACCCTTTAGTTTGTTTTGTTGGCCATCTATGCTGGGCATGGGGCCTAACCTTAGTGTGGTTAATATAACCAATTAGATGCCATTGGAGAAAATTGATTTTTCCTTTGCAAGCTGGTATCAACTGCAGATAACTTCTTGATCAGGTCCACTTACCCCACTCAGGGCTGGGCTCCCACATGGCTTGGACCTGTACAGGCTCTGTTCATGCTACCTTTGTCTGTGAACTCACGTGCGCATCAGTCCTGTCGTGTCCGGAAGACAGTTTTCTCGGAGTCATCTGTCCCCTGTGTCTCTTAAACCATGTGCCTTCTCTTCTGCATAGCTCCCTGAGCCGTGAAGAGAAGAGTTTGATGAGGTTGTTCCATTTAGGACTCAGTATCCAAAATCTCTCAGACTCTGCACATTGTCTAGTTGTGGGTCTGTGTCAGTTCTCATCTACTTCAGGAGGAAGCATCTCCGACGGTGACTGAGCAAGGCACTGATCTATGGTTATAGCAGAATGTTCTTAAAAGTCATTTTATCAGTATGTTCCTTTAGCAGAGCAATAGGTTTTGGTTTTCCCTTAGACCCATAACCTATCCAAGTCTATGCTTCATGGCCACCAACAGTATCAGGCATGAATTTCATCTCTTGGAATGGGCCTTAAATCCAGTCATACAGTAATTGATTTCTTCCACAGCTTTTGTGCACTAGCATATCTTGGAGACAAGTCACTGCCATAGATTGTAGGGTTTGTAGCTGGGTGGGTGGTTACCTTTCTCTAGTAGCACGCAGAGTACCTTCCAGGATCACGAACACTAGTCATTAAGGGTGAAGGCTCCCATGGGACTTCTCAAAACAATAGATTGGTTAGTTGCTCCATCACCACCCCAGCAAAGTTTTGATCCTTTAGTTCAGTGGTGAGACCCAGAGATCTGTGCTTCTAAGAAGTTGCCAGATGATGCTCTAGGGAGATGTCATCCCTGAGCTAGTATCAGATCCTTCCAGGAATGCCCCTTCTAATGCTATCATTCCAAGACCACACTTTGAAAACCACTGCTTCAAATTCTAATTAAGTGATAAGGAAAAATGAAGATGGTGTAAGACTGGATAGAAAGGTGGAACAAATTATGGGGACTTGAGGAAAAGAAGCCCCAAAGCCCCTCCCTTTGGAATGTGGTCCTGTTTTCTAGCTGAAAATCACACACAAAACAAAATGAAACAAAAAACCTTAACACAAATGAAGGCCAGAATTAACTAGTGAGATTATGCTAGTTTTCCTAAAGATATATCAAACAAGAATGTGAAAAACAACATGCTTACATAGGGCCAGGTCATTTAAAACCTTGGTTTAGCCACGTCAGCACTCCTCTCTCCTTTCTAAAGCAAACACCATGTGGCATAAAGCTGCCCTAAAAATTCATTTATAAGAAATTCCTTAAGGTAAGGAAAATAAACTAGCTCATAGTTCTGTACATAATTCTACAGCTCTGCCTAATCGTTACTGCTTGTAAATTATATCCTTTGAGAAATGGAACAGCCATAAAGTCACATTATATAGTCTTTGTAAACACACTTAAGTGGTACTCTCTTAAGAAGGCCACATCCACACTTGGGTATATTCTGGGCATTTCTTTCTAAAAACCAGTGCTTCAATCTAAATTGTACATATCTACCATTTATACATGATAAATTCACTTTTCCTTCACTCTGACTTGTCTTGAAATTCTTTTCTGAAAAGTAGTCAAGAATCAGTGTTACCTAAGTGGAAGTCCCTAAGGATCAGAACTCGTCAGGTCATCGGTGGCAGTTCTGGGATATGTCTCCTCACCATTGCTGATACTTTTAGCTCCGCAATTTCAAAGGTTAATTTTTTTAAAATCCCCTACAAGTAACATGAAGGAATATTTGTCTCCTGCTTCACTCCCTCCGTTCGCGTTGTTCCCTCCACCCAAACCTTTTCCTAGTACATCACACAAGGTCCCAATCAGGGAGGGGTGGGGCCTTTTTGAAATCCTTTTTAGGAGTCAAGGACATCACTTGTGCTTGAAAAACTACACAACTCCAACGAAGCTGAGCAGCATCCACCAGTGCAAGGCTTTGTCAGTTCAGTAAGTGTTTGGAATGTCTAATAAGAGCTATCATCTACAGAAAAGTAGCACAGATCAAATTATAGATAAGTGATAAGCAAGACAGTCGTATGAAAGACGTTAAATGGTTGCAAAAATATCTGCAGTAGGAGTAGTGATGCTTTACAGGAAAAATAAAACAGATTCCTACAGCAGAGACCTTTGAGGCCTCTTTTCTAACCCAAGGGTAGGCCAGAGAAGGCTTCCCTGGGAAAGGAGGAAAGAATCTGTACTATGCTTCAGTCCGTGCTGCTTACCTTATTTTGTCTCAATAAGAGCATGCATACATAGAGGAGGAGGCAGTTCACCCTCTGGAGCAGTGGTTCTCAACTTCCCAATGCTGCAACCCTTTAATACAGTTCCTCATGGTGTGGTCACCCCCAACCGTAAAATTATTTCATTGCTCCTTCATAACTGTAATATTGCTGTTATGAATCATAATGTATATATCTGATATGCACGATATCTGATATGCAACCCCCAAAGGAGTTTTGACCCACTGATGTGGGAGTGTCATATATCAATCTGTTGATTTCATTGGTTAAGTAATAAACACACTGCTTGGCCTCATAGGTTAAAGCATTGGTGGGAGGAGTAAACAGAATAGAATTCTGGGCAGAAGAGGAAGTGAGGTCAGACTCTGCTCTGCTCCCGGAGAGACCCAACAGCTCTGCTCTCTGGAGCAGAGACACCAGGATGGACGGAGGCTAGATTCTTCCCGGTAAGCGCACCTTGGGGTGCTTACACACATCATTAGAAATGGGCTAGTCCAGGTGCAAGAATTAGCCTGTAAGGGCTAGAGTTCATGGGCCAAGCAGTACTTAACTGAATACAGTTTGTGTGTTGTTATTTCGGGCATGAGCTAGCCAAGCGGCCGGGGTGTTGGGGACGCAGCCCCGCCGCTCTTATTTCAACAGACCCACGGTCTGAGAACCGATACTCTAGAGGCCTCCAAGGAATTCTGGCTGTTTCTTTCCTACTCTTCTTATCTCTACTCTTTCTGTCAAGAGCATGACATCAGAAAAGGCAATAGAAGTACTGTCTATTCAGATCTAAGTTTTGGATTCTTACAAACTGCCCCCAAAGGGTGATTACTGTTGCAGTATGTCTCATATCAAAAATGTATGACTTATCTATTGTCATATGTGCTGGCCTCCTTTCTTCAATCCAAAGAAAGCAATAACAACCAGAACAGTTTTACATGGTAGAGATTTGCTAAAATGCAATCATAAATTTTAGAATATTTTAGAATATTCTGTAGCTCAGATTCTCTCACTAGTCTTTACTGATCTGAAACACTTCTTGCACGATTTAACTATGAT